TTCAAGATGTAAAATGCAAAGCTAGTTTTCTCGCTAATGAAGACAGGAGCCATTGGATTAAACAATTAATTTGCTACTTAAGCCTCACTGACATTTCTTCACTGTGCATCTTGACAACACTGTCTGTGAACTTAAGATCACCTTCACAAGGTTCCCTGGGAGACCACCATTTTCTGGATGGGAAGCAAGAACTGAATATCAAGAATGCATGAATTAAAATTAAAATTTCCACTTAATTCAGCAGGTTGTAGCTACAACTAATTTAGAAGCCAATATGGTCAGCAGTGCCTTAGCATTCCAGAACAAAGCCCTCAAATATTATGTTATTGAGTCTTTACTTGTTAATTTTCGGGTTCAACACTTTTTTCATTAATTCATGAAACAAACTTGTAATTTATAACGTAAAATGCTTTCTTATCACTTTTTTATAGGCCTTGCCTGTACACTATAAACAAAAGACGTGGCAAAAAATACAAATGACAGGTTAAAAAACAAGTTTGTTAAAGATACTCTATAACTTTTTCTGTGAGTACTCCCTTCTCTTCCAACTGATGTCCTAAATTCAGCCTTTAGTAAATAAAATCCTTTATAATTTTTTTTTTACATATTCTGTAAAAATTAAAAAAAAACATTTAAAAGCTCATTTTTTAACCTAACAAATTATAAGTAAAAGATTACTTGGTTCAATTCCTAATAAAAAATTGCAAAGGTATAAAATTGAAATTATGTCTTCAACCTAAACTATTCTTTTGACACAGAAATAAATGGCAATTATTAAGCCTGGATAAGGCAAATAACTTTTTTTTTATCAGTGTTCAGCAACAGAACATTCATTCCATTTCATCAAAATCAGGGCCTATCAGACATGCAGATATATGACTAAAATTTAAAAGGAAATGTGGTGTAGTTTAATACATATTATCTTTTAGCAAAAAAATGTATTATGTGAAAGCAACTATACAGTTTACCTGACCTGAAATAAACAAGACAAATATAGAACTTTCAGATATACAGGGAAATCAAGCAACAACAGCAACAGTGATGAAAGAAAATTAAAAAGAAAATCCCCACGTTTCAAAGAAATTTCAATCTGAAAGAAAAAAGTGGAAAAAAAAAGTGGAATGTTTATAGAAAAGAAAATAAACCAGCAGTTAGAAAGGTAGTAGGTGGTATGTAGTAAAAATGAAATGATGAAACAAACTAGAGAAGTTTGGGGGAAATACCACCACTGTAATTAAAAATACAAAAAACAAATGGCATGTAAGCTGCAAAATATTGATTAATGACCAGAAATGTGCAAACTGACTACTACTTAGTTATTCATTTCCAGATTCCTAGGTCTTTGTATTTTTCTTCACCAAGGCCTGGAAGCATGGGTAAGTAAAAGAATAAACATTTTTGATTCAGTAATCTTGGGGAAGAGCTAGAAGTATCTCCTTGTACATTTTTACGTCCAAGGAGTCCAAGAAGCCTTCTTAGCTGAATTTGTTTTCTAATGAAAAGGAGTCTTTTCTTGAATGAATGGTTTAAGTTTCTCAGGACACTACTCTGATGAGCATGATACTCTGTATGGTTATTCAGCTAAGCACTGAATGTTTCTGAAAGCCAAAAAATTCATCATTTTTGACTTTCATAAATCCCAAAAACATTCTAATTTATTTTGTTTGGTTTCCTATATACCTTTCCTTTTCACTTTGCAAACTGTTTTGGAAAGACTTTTATCCTCCAAGTTTTATTTTTCTCTCTGGTCTGTATGAAATCATTCTGAAAGCCTATGTGCAATATGAAGAAAAAAAAAAAACAGAAAAAAAAGTTGAACATTTTCCATCTTACCTTTATTTTTTGATATTTGAGCCTTCTTAATGAGTTTTTTTCAGGCATTTTAAAATGTGCAACATCTGGAGTATTATATCAAACCACATAAAAATATTCCTAAGTGTGTGGTCTATTTTTTCCAAGCAAATGTGTAGGTGTAAAACAAATGTACACAGAAAAAGTCATACTAGAAAACTGAAAAAAGACTATTCTAATCAAAATAACTAGTTCCTAAAAAAAAGAAAAGAAAAATTACATCTTTAAAAATCTGTATATATTGTTAAAACATCACCACTCAGAATTCAGGGGCAAAACTCCTGAAGTCTCTGTGAACCTAAATTAGCCTCAGACAACAATTAAAACTTGATTATTTTCAAAAAGAAAGCTGGAAATGGCTGTGAAATGCTACTGTGATAGTATAAGTGACAGAACACTTTTCAACAAGGTCTCTTTTTCATAATTTTGTAACCTAAATGAAACTTAAATTCCTTAGACACAGCTGTACTAGGTGTAAGTCATCCTTCTCAAAAAAATGTAGTACTGTCAGTTGACTAAAGGGATGAAACTGTGTGCTAATTTGGAGCATATTTTAAAGAACAATTTTGTCTGAATACATAGTGTGAATCTTTTCCTTTACTATGATGGGGAAGTAAAATGATTTTCAGCATCAGGAGAAGTGCAACTTATGAGGAGAGGAGAGCTAGAAAGTAAAGGGTTAAAATTTGAAAAAAACTGAAGAAATGCAGATGAAATTAAAGATACCACATTATTCATTTCTATGTTGTTTCTGCAGCGCTGTCTGACTAAGCAAACTTTTCCTCATCTTTATTATAGGCAGGGATAAAACCACTCAGACAACTGCAGTTCAGAATAGTTTTTTCTACACCTACATTTCTGAGCTAACAGGGATGGTCTGTGAAGCCAGTCTCAGATCCTAAGGCAACGTGCCAACACTCTTATTTGGTTACTCATATTTGTCTAAGGAGAGTTCTGTTACTGGAAGATAACAATACTGTAATGACCAGTAAGGCTAAAGAGAGGACATGTGCCAAGGCAGAAGTTTCTTTCGTTTTCTTTAGTAACAGAAGTGTGACATCTGGCAGTGCTTTACATAATTAACACACCACCATGCTATTTACTACCTCTCTCAATCATATGGTCTTCACACCTTTTTTTTTTTGGAGGAGGAGTGTTGGTTTTTTTCCCTTCCAATATTTTCTGAATACAGCTCAGGTAATTCTGAAGTTGCTTGTGTACCACTGTTATTAATCTTCCTTCATAGCAGACACATGTATCAGTCTACTTCAACTATTAAATGGCAGAGACTGATTCATAATTTTTCTAACTGTATGATTAAGTATAAACTGATGTGTTTCAGTAATAAAGTCCTGAACCACCAAAGGCAAAAGCTTGGTCTCTCAGTTCTTATTTCAAATCCTAATAAACAAAAGCAACATTTATACTGCTTTTACATTTTACTCAGCTGTAGTCTTACTGGAAAAAAATGATGGGGTTTGCACTTCAGTGTGTTAAAGCACAAATATTTATTCTTTAAATCAAAGGTTTAAAAGTCTAATATTACTAAGAAGATTATAGTTAACATTTGATACATTATACAGTATTACATGAATTATTTTACAACAATAAGAATGCCTGTTCCTCGGAATATGAAATTATGTATTACAGTTTTAAAATTTCTTATCAATATTATTAAAAACAATTTTGTCTGTATGATAAAATCCTCAAAAAGAAAAAAAGAATGAATGAGAAAGCAATGGCTGACAAGAAAATTTGAAATGCATAGGTACACTACACTGATGTGGACAACAATATTCAGAATCTAACTATTAGATTGCCTACTTGTCTATAGGCAATCTCATGAAAAAAAAATTGATCAAATAGTTCCCTAAAACATTCCTTAACTGAGTGGTGAAAGTCCGCATGTGGAAAACTTTTCAAAACCCACACTTGTTATTACATTGAGATACTAAAGTCCCATATTGTACTTAGCACAAACAATCATCGTTTATTTCACAAAAATAGGCAAATAAATGTACATTCTTCCTAGTTTTAGTGGAGTTACTGGTTTAACATGAAAACATAAAGTCCATCAAAGGAAAAAACTCACCATTTATTCATTTGAATATTTATTGTTATTAAAATAGCATCTTGCGATTTGTCAGAATGTTCTTTGCAAATGAATGTCCTATGTACTTTTCATCCATAACACAAGCCAGGATGAGGATGATGCTCACTAAAGCACAGATAGATAGTTAAAGTCATAGATGCACTATAATGCATCAAGCATTTAGGATTTTTTGTTGTGACTCAATGAGCATCCAATTCCTATTTTGCACTAAAATTGATGATGGGAAGTGAAAAGGAGGAAAAAACCATAATGTGACCAAAATTAAGCCTGGGCAAAAGCTTGAAGTTTGTGACCAAATGTACGGAGCATTTCATCAGTTCTGTCTGCTCCTTTTCCTAAGAACACATAATGACAGGTCATTTTGATGACACGTAAATAGACAACAGGACATTGTTCATACTACCGTAACCTGAAGAGATGGAAAGATCAAAGACAGAAGATTATTGATGAATTTCACAAAATTCTATGACAACTTTTCTATACAAAAAAAAAAATATATAATGGTACAAGCATTGATTTTCAGGTCATCTGATCAAAGTTTGAAAAGTCCAGTGGTCTGTTTATAAGCATTCATGCTTTCATGTCAAAAATGTCTGAGAAAACCCACCTTATCTGTTAACAGTTTTTATTTCCAAGGAGTTTTTATTAGAAAATGGGATGGTGTGTAGTACTTAGAACAAGAAATTTGATGAATGAAGAAAGATAAACAAATAATGAAAAGAATAGACAGATAAATACGGATGCACGGGTTATTTCTATATCAGTGCAATTGCTTTGAAAAAAAGCAGATATAGACAAAATCCAGAAAGACTAAACAAGGGCAAGAGAATTGATGAAAAGTGAATGAATAGATTGGAAAACAGGCCTTAAAATAATTTTCTTGTTTAGATTTTAGAAAAAAAGTTTTGATAAAAAGATGTATTTGAATGAAGGGTGTCTGACAAGGCATTGTATAGAGATACATTCTACATATAATAAAAATGAATCAATATTACATATTTAAGATTAAGTATTTTGAAATTATTAACTAAATTGTTCACTGAATCTTTATCAGACTGGTATCTCAGGGATTTAATATAAGTTTATATCCATCAAAAATAAATATGTTGGCATAATTTGTGAAAAGAATGACAGAAGAACAAATTGCTATGGGAGAGAGATCTCAGGGAGAAATCTTCTTGTCTGTTCAGTACTGTGGGCTGTTTTGAATGAATATCTTAATACAGCCAAATGCCTCATTATAAGCATTGGTACAGCTTGTGTACAAAATACAACTTAGCAAACTAAAGGTTATACCTTGCAGCACTGCAACAGAGAAGTCATAAACACCTGTTATAAAGCAGATTTCAAAATAATTCTCTAACTAGAGATGATTAAGAGAATGTAGCTCAAAAATAATGAAGAAAAAATAATCTTTCAGAAATACCGATACTGGACAAGCAAACAATATTCTGCTTCTGTGCTTTCAAAAACTAATGTTGAAAAACTGGAAAGATTTCAGAAAAATTCAAAATGCTGTTCCATCAACCAGAAGCATGGCATAATAAGACTACATGTAGAATTCAGTGGTCATTCACTTACAGCCTATAAACATATGCATTCCAGGCATTAACATATTTTTCATAATAATTTCAGATGAAGTGCACTGATGAAAAATAAGGAGGCTCTACAAAAATTAATCCAGATTCTTCTACTCATCCACATTTATAATACTAGACAGAATGCATTAAAAAAATTCTACTCTAAATCTTGTTTCTCTTTTATGGGAATAATCACTGTTTGACTTCCTAAAACTTTTGTTAATAATTCCTTATTTATTCAGGGAGGAGATATTTTTAAACACTTCCAATGATTTGCATTCAAGTGGAGCTTTGATTGTGGAAACACATTTGTGTTGCAACTAAAAATAACTTTTAAATCTAAAAGAACAGCTAGAAAATAAATTAAAAATAAAAAAGCCAATATCTGAACTAAAGAAGACTAAAAATTCAGTGAAACTGCAGAGCATCAGAACTAATTCAATGGAGTATTCAGATTTGCACTGGAATTCTGCAAAAAAAAAAAAAATTAGACAAAGAAGAAATGTCTGTGTGGACAGGAATTCAATATTGTAATTGCTCCTACCTAGGAAAAGAAAGAATAAATAGAAAAAGAACAGAAGAAACCAATTCAAAAGACAGGGAAGGAGAAAGGTAGAATTATAGAGTTACTGAGAAAGATTTAAATGGTAATTTGAAGTAATTTGGCCTTTAATATGAATATGTATATACGTACTGTAGTTATCTTTCTAGTCCATTAGTTTGATGATACCATTCCCTTGATGCTTCCTGTTGGACTTGAGATTTGTCTTTCTAGTATGATTCTGCTTTTCCTCCACTAGTCCTTTCCTTGTGGAACATTTCATTGATAGTGATCTTCTATCTTCCCTTAATGAGGACTGATAGTTCCCCACTGACAAATTTGCCAGATGGTCACAATCTGTAAATTCCATCTGAGATTTTTGTTCATGGTTCAGACATACTAATCTCACAAGGTCCCATCCACACTGATGTTTCTCTGTTTTTCTCTGGTTTCAGAGCTGAACTACAACAGTGTGCTTCTGGGGTTACAGTTTACCTTTCATATTCTCTCCTTAGGAAAAAGAACTCATTTTTAAAGGTAGAGCTCCTTTTTGACATAACTCAATTACAGAATCACAGAGCAGTTTTGTTGGGAAAAAACCTCTGGAGATTGTCAGGTTCTGTCCCCCTTACAACAGTTCAAAGGATGGTCAGCTGGGGCTGTGTACATCTGGATTTGAGTATCTTCAAGAATGGAGATTGGAGCATCTGTCTACTCTAACTGTTTCAGAGTTTGACAGTTATTTTTTTATTATTATTTTTTTTTTATTTTTTTACTAGAAAGTCCTGTCTTCCATTTTGTGCCCATTATTTATTTTCTTGGCACTGGATATCACTGAGAATAGACAGGGTCTGTGTTCTTCGCTCAGCTCCAAAAGGTGTTTATACACTCTGGTAAGATTTGCCTGAGCTTTCTCTTCTCCAGGATGAATGATTTTAGGTCTCTCAGACTCACACATGTGGAAGATGGTCTAGTCCCTTAAATGTCTTTGTGGCCTTGTCCTGGATTTGCTTCAGTAGCTCCTGTGTCAATGACTCAATGATTTATGATTCTGTCTCTCCTGAAATTCTGAAGAGCCCAAAGACAAACAAAGCATTTCAATGTGCTGAACAGAGGGGAAGGATCTCCTCTCTTCATCTAGTTTGTGATTGCCTTTCTAGCACAGTCCAGGATGCTGTTTGCCTTCTTTGTCACAGGATCACATTACTGGCTCGTGCTCAGCATGTTGACTTCTAGTCCTCTAAGGTCCTTCTTGAAAAAAACTGCTTACCAGCGGCTTTCCAGTCAGTCAGCCTGCAGTATGTACTGGTGTGTGGGTTATTTGTCCCCAGCACAGGACTTGGCATTTCCCTTCACTGAAATTCATGAGATCCCTGTTAATCTATTTCTTCAATGTGTTGAGATCCTTCTGAATGTCTTTGGGTTTAAAAAGGAGACTACACTCTTCACTACTGAAATAAACTTATTTTGTCTTAACTGCTTACATACATTTTGAAAAATGCAATCAACCTGAGAATAAATTGACATTCTCTGTAACTCTTCTCTTCTTTAAAAAATGAACTTTAGCAAGGTGCCTTTGAGGTGCATCATAAGCTGAACACTGATAGATGTAATTCTAAAATTAATTAGTGAACAAAGTTTGAAAGAAAAAAAAATACCACCTTCTAGGCCATGAAAATTTCAGCCAGTTGTTTGATTGTATGGTGGGATGAACAATCTTCTTTTAGAACGGTCTGGTCAGAAACCTGCAAAGCTATTTTTATCTATTCTATACTCCCTTCAGAGGAAACATAATAGATGTAATTGAATCATTCTTGTAAATGGCATTGAGAAAAGTCAGCAGATCTGTCAGGACCTCATCAACTTAACTTAGAGATGATAATAATGTTAAAATAAAGTTATGTTTTATTCCTCTAGTCACCACAGTAGTCATTATATTGTGATGAGAAGAGCTGCTGCTCACAGAAAATAACCACATAGGGGTGGGAGAATATGAAATGAGAAACAAATAATGTTAATTCTGTTTTCTTCTATACAATGTGTGGAGCAAAATAAAATGGCAGAGAAGAACACACGGCAGTGGTAAGAAAGGGAGAAATACTAATCAGAAAATAGAGTGGGCTGCCATTAAACTTCTTTTGCTAACAATTTCCACAGAGTAGAATGTAAAATATACAGGATTTTACTTACAATAGGTGACTGATACCTTTGATAATGATTACCACATAATCATTGCCTTTTTAATGCTTTTTACTTTATTATGGGTCAGAAGTTACCTCTGCAACGATACAAAAAAATAACCTGTGGCAGTATTTACTTCTTTTCTAATCCTTTTCTCAGTAGAGCCTTCAGAAAATCTGCTGAACATTTCAGGAAATGCAAGCCTTTTGTTTATTCAGAAAATTAAAGATAGAGTGAAAAACTTTTTCTACAAAATGGGAAAATTATTCCTTCAAATTTTTCTTGCTTGAAGGAAGCAGTCTGAAAGAAAAGGTACAAATGTGTTCCTCATTTCAGAGCAGAGACTCAACTGAAACAATTAAAGAAAATGTGCCCTAATAACTTCAGGGTTATACTTCAGTTTAAAAGTGTCATTCTTTTTTCTATAGAAAGTTAAAACGTAAGAAATGTCTTTTACAACCCTATGTTGTTATTTTATAAATACTTAAGTACAATTATGGTGTGGTCAGCAGAAAAAGATATAGTGGTGCATTAATATATTTAAAGGACTGTTGAAAATGTAATCTAGTAACAAACAAAAGCAAGATGACAAATCATTCCTAAATTGTGTGCAGCTTCTAAAATTTAAAAAATAAAAAAATCTAAGAATATTAAAAAAAAAAACAACACATCTAAACTTCAACCAAATCAGCTAATTTTGGACTATGCATAAAGAATTTCCAGGTTCTTAGAGTAAAAAAACACATTTTACAGAAAAAATACAGGACAGTTTCTCTTCAAATACTGCTTTAAAAACCCTACTACTGAAACTTGGAAGTCATTGTGTAGTCAATGTTCTTGACCTGATGTTCATAGTTACACTGAAGAACTTAGCCATTTCTGCTGTTATAAGGACCCCAAAAAATATGACTGACAACAATTACAGCGGGACAGCTCTATAAATCTATAAAGCATGGATTTCACTGAGTGAACAATTGGCTGCCAGGCTGGGTACTAAGGGTTCATTGGGTTGCAGTAGACTGGTGGGGTAAACCTGGTTTTACATCCAAAGTGGGGCACAAAGACGCTGGAAAGCAGCCCTGTGGAAAGAGATCTGAGCTTCTGGTTTGGTTGATGTAAGAAGTGTTAAAATAAGAAGTTAAATATTGAAAATTTTTAAGATGCAGTCCAGTCTTTAGTATCATATTTGGATAAGATTTTTAAATATTGAAAGCTTCTGCTGATTACTTACGACTCTACTCCTAAGCAGACAATTTATGTTAAGATGAGTAAAAATATGAAATACTTTAGTCAAAGTAAGTGGTGGAAATAGAAGTTCAAAGTGCACCTGAATGCTGGTGCTTGAGATGATAAGCCAAGCACTGGGAGATTAAAATTTTTTCCTCATTTGTGTCATGTTTTCAACAATGCTAGCATAAATTAAAAAAAAAAAAAAAATACATTCCTATGTCCTTAAGTAAATTACTTTTCACCTGTAACATGGGAGGAATAATTATTAATGTATCTTGACCCTTTTGTCATAACATCTTTCCTGCCTGTCTCAAAGATATTAACCAATGAAATTTTCTTCTTTCTTAAAATTAGACTTTTCCATTTTTACAAGATTTATAAAAAAATTCAAATGAACTATAGTCAACAGAAAATGTGATGTGTCATTCCTCATAAGTATGTCCTCATAAATGTCATGTTACTTCCTTTTTTTTTAATCCTTTTTTATTTCTAGACAAATACATAAATTACTGAACATTTCTGTACTGAACATCTTTACAGTTGGGAAGAAATATTTAGGAAATTAGTTTTCTTTTTTGGTATGGTGCCCATTTTTATCTTTTAACTTCTTCAATATGCAGCTGTTTTAAAATATTTTTCTTCTCCTTTTAAGGAGAATAAAAGAACTTAAAATTTGCAAGTGGAAAATAATGAGAATCTTCTTCCTCTTTCTCATGTCTATACATCATACATGGTGATTGAGGGATGTGTGAAGGAAGAAATAGCTTAGGCATCCTACTGCAAGGAACATATGCAAATCACTGGGTCATTTGTTTGTGTAGAAGTGGACCCAGAAATTGCTGCACTTCAAATTAATTGAAGCAGTAACTTAAGCCTTTTGCTCATAGTTCATATAAACACTTCAAAGTCATTAATTAATCTATTCCTTCATTTTCCAGGTTGAAGATGCAACATAAACTGTCATCTTATTTGGAACAATCGATATCCATTTTCTTTGGTTATGGTTTTATTGCCTGAATTATTGGAATCCAAATGATCCTTCATTAAATTGAGTGTTGTATAATTTTTATGTTCATGACATAGGTCACACAAAAAACTAGAAAGGATTTTTTTTCCTGAGTTACAGTATCTAATATATTTAACCTATAATTATTAAACTTAATTTCTTGAGATAAAATTGAATAAAAACAATTAATAAAATAAGGGAATTACATACTAAGTAGTTTCAGAAGGCTAAAATAAATTTGTCTCTTTCAAAGTTATATTTGGAAATATGTTGAGTCACAATAATGAATTTGATTCTTATCCCTTTGACCTCAATTTTAGATTTTGACTTCAAATGGCATTAAAAGACATGTATAAAAACTACTACTCTCACACTGTCACCTCCTGACACTGCCATAAGTAATTATCAAATTAAATGCATAGACTAGGTACTCAAATGCTCCTTAGTTATGTACATAGTTCCATTCATTAACTGAATAAAACTATGGAAATAAAATAAGAGAGGAGATAAAAGTAATATTTAGATATTTTTCTTACCTGCTGAGAATTCAAATCCAATGAAATTCTCCATCTGATAAAGTTCCAGAGCAGGTCACACAGGATGATTAGTTATGGAGCTGTTTTCACACCGAAGACAATCAAACTAAAACCCTTCAGCACAGGATGAGGTGATTGGAAGATGTAACAATGATCTACAAAATCATGAATGGCAAAGGGATTAACAAAGGATTTCTTAGTCACTGTTTCTTCCAGGACAAGAAATTAGATGCCCACAGGCTTCACCTTAAGTAGCAGGTTGAATTAAGCCAAAAAGGAATCTTTCTTATAAGTACAAAGATACACATATCCATGCCACATATCAGTTTAAAAATGGAAATGTCCTAGGAAAATTTTATTATCCTGTTACATAGTTCATCTCTGGACTACCACTGTCTGAGAGGTCACAAGCTAAATGAAGTTTTGTCTGACCCTCTGTTACCAGCTCTACACTCTTAGGCCATATATACACATCGCTTTGTTTTTACCACACATTTTTTCCTTTCGACAATGTGTACATGCATATAATTATACACACATACATCTCTTAGATATGTCTAAAAGCTGATAACAAAGCTGTATCTTAAGAGATAGCACATAGTGCCTGACTTCAAAGCTGATTCCTTAAGGAGAAACAGTGAAGCTGTAAGACATGGGAGTAGAAAAACTAGCAGAAATCAACCTTGTTATAAACTTTCAGATAATGGATCTCCACATCTCAGACAATCATAGAAGAATTTATTTTAAAATGTTTTTTAATAATCAGTGAAGTTCAGGACATAATTTATTTTGTGTCTGCTTTGAGTTGAAATAATTCAGATATTTCCTAAAATGCTTGCCCTCCCCCCATTTCTTAACAGTATTAATTTGGCACACTCAACTACATTTAGGAATCAAGGAAATCACTACTTTGAGCAACCTACAATTCCTTAAGCAAGAGAAAGCAAGAAGCCAATGATTGAAAAGATAAACCCTATTGTACTTATACAAGGAGGAGGGGCAAGTTTACTCAGGGTTTCCTGGGTTGCATAATGCCAAAGCAGAAAAAAGTTACAGAAAATAAAGAAGGTGAACAGATCCTTTCTTTGGTACAGTGTACTCTATATTTTGACCATGGATAATTTTCCCACTTTTTGTCTTAGTCATGAGAAAATTTGGCATTGCAATAGGAAAGAGACCTTTCTTATCCAAAACCAGTTTCTGGGCAGAGAACATTAAGTGGCTTTTTTCTAAAGATGTTTACTATACTATAACATATAGTTATATAGTTATATCTTTGATGGTTTCTATTTTCATGCAGTAAAAGCCCCTTATCTACAGACTAATGCTATGTAAGGGTTAAGGTAAAATACAATTAAAGTATCAATAAGGAACTTTTTTTTTTTCAAGGTAGGATTGTGTTAATTAACAATAGTTAATGTAAAAACGTTAACTTTTTTCAAATGATCACTCAGGTGTATATATAGGTACATAGTACATGCAAATAAGTAAAAATTACTCATTTGTTACCATTTGGACTGTGGTGTTAGAAAAAAAGCTGACAATTAAGTATCAAAAGTAATGTTAAATATTTATTTTTCTCCCCTCTCTTGAGTCTGCAATATAATTTCAATAGAATAGATTTATACCCTAATTTACTAGATTAAGAATTTTGAAAATTACTAGAATATTTTAATGTAACCTTTTGCATCGGTTACTACTATTCTTCTACTAGATTTTGCTCAAGTACAGTGAAGACCTTTCATTGTACATGTTTCTTTGTTACACTTGCACTCATTATTTAACCTATCAAAACATGATTCTCTGACTTTTTTCTTAATAAAAAACTGAATGCAGAGGGAAATAAAGAATTTACTCTTCCAATAAACCCCTCACTTGTTACATATATATTGATGTATCACAACTAAAAACCCACTTGATTACATTCCTGTCTTTTAAAGGATCACTTTCTACTCTCACTGCACATTCTGACACGGAAATCAATGATGTAAACTCAGATAACAACAATCAGAAAATATTGCATCTCTGTCATTTCCAGTTTATTGAAGAAATTTCTTAAAAATATCAAGTAAAAATTTAGTAGAATGCTATTTACTGGGTGTTTTCTTTTTAATTGTCGTATCAGTTCATTGTACAAGGAAGTTTCATTCTGCAGTGAATTCTTCAGGTGGTCCGATGTAAACAATATTTTTAGTGATGCATGGACTAAAATAATGAAGGGCCTTCAGACACACAAAAATAATATAGGACAACATACATCATAGAAATTATGTCTGACATTAAAAAGCACAGGTTTTTTTTTCAGCTTGCATTGCAGCTAGTTTTGATGAAATATATAAATAGCATTTTTATCAGTTCTTTAGAGTCCTGCCACCCTCCATTTAGCACTTTCTTAGTTTTCCAAATGATGATTTAGCAAAAACTAATTAAGGAAAGCCATAGTCAATATAATATGCAAATAAAGACATACTTAATGCTGCTGCAATGGTTTTGTCCACTGCTTTCTCCAGTGAACCAAATCAACCAAAAAAACCCTGTACTCTGTTCTTTTGTGTTTTGTTCCCACATCATTCCCAGTAGGTAGGGAATTGAAGCACCCTGAACTGATTTGCATCCTGTAGTATATTACATACTAGATGGAAATAGGATCAAGGATTCACAATCCCAAAAGTATTTTCTCCAAAATCAGCTGATAAATATTCAGCATGTTGACAATTCATAAAAAATGCAGTCCCACTGCTCAGGAAATGTCCCTTTTTGTTACAAGAGGAGTTGAGTTTCTAAAACACAGCATTGAATATGGTTCTTTCAGGTTTCAGCTACAATAATGTGCAACTTGACAAAGAACCTTACTGGATGAACATGGCTTAATACTTGCCACTTGCCATTTTCATTCCTTAAAACTTTCAATATAGGCATTGATGCTCAGCATTCTTCACGGTTTTTCCTTTCTTTTTGCTCAATTTTTCCAAAAGAGATGGAATCTAAAACAGTAGCCAAATTTTTAAAGCGATAAAGAAACTGACTTATTTATCATTATTTTTAAACTTCAAACTTGTTATTCTTACCTTATCACTGGAATTATCACTTATGAATTCCAAAATTAGTAATTAGATCTCACCACTGTTAATCATTAACTTTTTAAAGCTAATACTTCTTAAGTTTTAAATAGGTGGAGACAATATAAATAACTCAAAAGACTATAGAATAAAGATAAAAGAATTTATCTTACTACACCCTTCACTGAAAAAGAACTACTCCCTGCATGAAGCAATGGATGACTCATGTCAAAATGTGTGTATGTGCATCAGGTATGACAAATGTGATCATCCAAACAAACTAGGATATCTAAAGGAAGCCAGCACTGGGGAAAACTGTCCCTGAGTAAGGGCAGAATACATTCATCATGAGGGGAATTTTAAAAAAGCTTTTAAAGACAATTGCCATCTTCAGTGGGGCTGCAGTGCTTTAAAACAATGTAGAATCAGTGTCTGACTCTAAGCAGTATTTTTCAATCTATATCTAAGTGGAACTATTTTTCTCTAAGAATATAACCCCAGAAGCTTTGTGATAAAGAGTGGGCAGAACAAGTAGCAGCAGTATTCCCAAGCACGGCATGACGATACAAACTGAATGCAGTAAAAACTGAAGGAAAGGCAATGGGCCAGATCTTTTGCATGTATTAGAGCTGCTGATTGCTCTGCATACATACAAGTATAAGTAAATTTCCTTTAGCATTAAGAAAGATCATTTGGGGAAAAAAAAATTGCCAGATTTTTATTAGAGATTAAAAGCTGTTTCCTTTTCATTGTTGCTGTTTGGGTTTTGGGGTTTGTCTGTTTGTTTGAGTGTTCCTCACTCATTTCAAAAAATGGTTGGTAGCTAATTTCTGGAAGTCTGTGGGCCCTAGCATAAACAGATCCAGACTGAAAAGTTATGATATATATAAATTCCTAGTGCATGGTAATGACACATACATAGTTTAAAGCTTCACAATAAAATTGTGTAACACAAATATTTCATTATGCAGTTTATTATTCCTGCTTTAACTGGATTTAACATATTATGGTAGCCACTTCACAAACAACATTGGTGCTTAGTATCAGAGTACTAATGGGGATATATTCTGTAACTTAGGGTTTAAACATGTTCTGACATAGTCTCAGTCTTCCCCCTGCCCAAAAAATATACTGAAGCAACGTCAAGAACATATTAATGTTCAAAATACTAACAAATGATAGTAAGACAACTCAATAGGTGATTTATTTTATGTATCTTCTCAATTATACAGACAGAGTCAAGTGATTTAAACTTTCTGGGAAGTTATTCAAGCCCTAGATCACACATCTGCCTTAAAGGACTGCTGTGACAGAAGAAATCATTCCAGCTGAACATTACAGCTTTGTTGCCTTCTTCATACCCAACACCAAACTGTAATTTTGGTTGTAGAACTTATTTTTTAATTTAAGAAAAATAATAAGAAAGCATAAATCAGCTGTACATCAAACAAGATAGGCATACATCTGTGAACAGGACAAACCAGTCCTGGTAGCAAAGAAACTGTTTTGTAAGCAACATAAAATTAACAAAGCTGTTACAAACTGTCAGACTACAGCTATGATGGCAAATGTGCAATCTTATTTTATCCTATGATCAGAGACTGTGTCTCCCCTTGGGACTAGTGACTATTGCATGCACTAGATACTTGCCTCTGGAAAGTATTTGAAAGATGCTTCCAGTTTCTTAAGCGGATAATTAGTCTCTATTGTTGGAATCCAAAATAAAAGTCTCTCTGAGCTCCTCAGAGAGAGAAAATAATTAAAATATATTAAACCATAGAGTAAAAGTGCAAGTTTTAGTTCTAGTGTAGTTTTTCATGCAGTAAAAGCCCCTCATCTACAGACTAATGCTATGTAAGGGTTAAGGTAAAATACAATGAAAGTATCAATAAGGTACTTTTTTTTTTCAATGTAAGTTACTGTTAATTAACAATAATTAATGTAAAAACGTTAACTTTTTTTCTAACCTACTGTTACTGTAGGTTACATGCTTTTTCACTGTAAGTAAAAGTATAACTTAAGTGCCCTGAGAGTCTGTGTTAGCTAGTGAAAAGCCTTATTACCCAGTTTAAAGTTCAGTGATAATACCCTTCACA